GAGGGGGTTGGTTGGTTGGAACCCCCTTTTTTTGACGATCAATGCTTTCTGAGTTGAGTGGGGACATATGCCGGTTGGAACCCCCTTCCCCCCTTTTAAAATGGCTGGAATCTGCATGCTGTTATATTTGTTTTTATGTTATTTATATGATTTTTTTCAGTAAAATCTCTCGAGATTGTGTTGTATAGTTTTGATTCAGTTTTATAAATGCCGAATCAAATAAAATTTTCGTATCTTATTACTTTTGCGGTTCGGATCGACATTCGAGTCCATGCCGTCAAAATTTTAAACTAGAATATGAGTTTCCGGTTGGACAGCGGCATTTTCAAAACAAATGTACGATTGTAAATTATCAAATATGTACTTTATGTTAGTTATGTATACCATTATTCATTTAATATGTTCTGCTCAGCAATCTGTTTGATTTAGACGTTATTCAAGAGAGCTTATTAGCTTATTTATGCATGGTAGTAGGTCAATATATATTGAAATTGAATGTACAGTATCCACAGGAGTTTGAAATCCTAGCAATAAAGGTGTATAAATATGCCAAACTCGACTATCACAGTAGAGCTTCGACACCTTTATTGCTAGGATTTCAAACTCATGTTAGAAATCTCTCGGTATATAAAAAATTACTATAAGTATTCAGGTCTCAGACAGGGTATATAATGTGACATTCCCGGCTTAGAGTTTATATTCCTTGAGCCGTAGGATTACCCTTGCCTTAATTTTTTTCAAGTACTAGATATTTGTTAAACATTCACCATGCAGTATATATATATTTCCTGTGATGCAGGACGCGACGTCCATACTGCCATGACGTCCAAAGGATGTATCGGCCATACTTTGAAAAGATGTATTGGCTATTGGCGAACATTCCATACTTTGTGAATACGCGTCGTCCATGGTTTTTTTAGGAAATAAATTTTATTTATTAGTATTGTGATATATACATGTAGATGGTTATTATAACTTGTTAATGTATTATCCTGTCATGTTTTTATATGTTATACACTTGGAATACACATTATTAATATCATATATAAATGTGCTTTATTTAATAAAATATTTATATTATTTTCTAAATGGATTTTTAATATCTTGGGTAAAACAAACTGAAATAAAGAGCTGCGCCATGAGCGCATGATACGCCCGTCACTTTTTCAACGAATAAACTCCTCAAACATGTCAAAGTCATATCAGAAATTTATAAATAAAAAAAACTAAATGGAGCTTTTAATAGAAATAAAAGTCACCAAAGTCACCAAAGTTTAATTTACTTAAAACCAGTTTTCTAGACTCGAACTCTTTCAAACTGGCAACATTGTACATAATAAATACTACAAAATCATATTTATGTTATAACTATGAAATAATACTTGTTGTATTGTTATATTTTATGTGATAACCACAATGAAATAAATACTCTAAGTATGGAGGATACAAGGTATGGACGATACGTCCTATTGGGGGTAATGCTGCCACATCTTATGGACGTTGTGGAAGTATGGCCGTCACGTCTCGAAAGCTTGCAGTATATATATTTTCCGCATACATGACGGATTTTGTAATTTGCTGTGAAAATAATTCTATCTTGTATGCAATAATTTGTTCCAATTTGGGTGACAAACGTCGTAAATACCCTGGCAGTTTCCTGAATATATACTGACATCTCTGTGTTGTTTTCCAATCACAAAACTCAACACATATGTAATCCGTAATATATATATATCATAAACACCTTATCATGCTTATCGCTATAATTTTAGTCCAATCTGGATAAAAATAAATAAATAGTGGTAAGGTGTATTGTATACGTTTACATATATAAAGGGTCCGTTCGCCCAGGCTTTGTTTGTGCTAAGTGTCTGTTGGCCCTCCTTTTTTGTAAAATATATATTAATCATGTTAATTGTTTTTAGGTTTTCACATTTTATGTACATGTACATGTACACCTGTTTACCAATGTAGGTATTTATTTGGTAGATACACAAAATTCAAGAAAAAAACATGAAAATATTTTTAAATCGATTACTTGTTTTGTCTAAAATGTTGCCTTTTGGACAGTGATTATGGTCTATGTCAACACAAATTGTGTCGAAAATAAAATAAAAAATGTAATGGATTATTCCAAAAATTATTTAACCAGGGCACAATTACCTGTTGGTAATTAGCTATCCACAAAAACCTGTAATTGTTATCACGTTTTTTTTCAAACAATACAATCAATGACAATACAATATGTCTTTATTCCAATTAAGGTCCCTCTGACAAGGGGCAGTGAAAAAGATACCATCATAATTCAGTTATACAAACAATATAGTACAAGAATACAATGTATAATACCGGTGTGGTAATAACAAAAACAATATACAGTGATATACATGTAAGATGATTTTACATGTTGAGTTCTCTGCATTAAGGATGTTTGCGGCAGTGCGAATCCAAGGGGAGACACACATTTTGGTAAATTGATTGCTTAGCTGGAGGAGACACCAGGGGACAGTGCTTGAGATTCATATGCATATGAATCTCCCTGTGTCTAAACCAGCAAAGCCAACAAGAAGTAATATATCAATAGATAAATAGGGGTCATTTATATGATTGCTTAACTGGAAGAAGCAACAGGGGGTAGTGCTTAAGAATAGTTTGAATATGATTCTCCCCGTGCCAAAACCAGCCAAGCAAGCAGTTAAAAAAAAAGAAAAGAAAATGAAATATGAGTTTAACAAATTTGTTTTAATGATTAGGATTAAAGCATTAAACTATTTACAGTGAGTATGAACAAAGTTAATCAATTGTTTTAATGCTGATGTGTCCTTACAGGTCATTAACCAAAAGAATATTTCTGGAGGATTCACTTTAATAGTAAAATTGTTAGATGTACATGACTGAGATATAGTTTTAAACAAATTTTGTCGCTCCTCATTAAATTTGGTGCAATGAAGGAGAAAGTGTATCTCATCCTCTACCTCACCCAAGTCACACTGCCCGCAAAGTCTAAGGTGTGGAGGGATACCCTGCCAGGTATCTGCAAGTTTCTATTTGCAAAAGATGTGCTGAAATTCTTAGTTTCATTAGACTCCTACTATGCTCAAAATTACTGACAAGAGATAAATAATTTTCAAATCCAAAATTTACCTGAAAGGTTGTGTACATTTGTCTGTCAACATGTTTGTCATGTTTGTAAGTATGAAGTTTCCGAATGTTTTTTTATTTGATTTTCCCAAAGTTTCAAAAAAACCTCTTTTACATGGCATTTTAGTTTGCTTCTTGAAATTTTTGTACTCTCAATCCCTTTGATATTTGGAAAATTTGGTAGTATACATTGAAGTGATCCATACCATGATGATTTCCAATGGTTACAAATATAATGTGTATTTCATGGGACAGAGAGGTCTGAACTACATTTACTCTTTCAATAAAATATATTACACCATTATACAACATATACAACATTAAACAAGACAGCATGACAAATGCATGATAACATAAGAATTTGCATTTTAAGTTGAGATTTCAACATTGTAAATGTTATATAATGATACATATATAGAACAACAAAAATAGAATTGGAAAAGGGGCAAAGGTGTAGGTAGAATAATGTTCATCAAATTTTTATACTAACCTTAAAATCAATGGGTATTTTTTAAGAAACAATTACTGTTGATAAAAAAAATTCAAAGGAAATTTTTGAGAGAGAAAAAAACCCATTAGGCATTACATTCATCAATAAAAAAACAATTTTAGAAAAGCTGATTTACATAACATTGTGTGCTTGGGCACTTTCAATTTAAACACAAGGAGAAGTGGTGTGATTGCCAATAAGACAACTATATCCACCAGAGTTCGAATTACAAAGATAAAAGTCACTGTACAGCCTTCAACAATGAGAAAAACCCTTAACTTAGTCAGCTATAAAAGGCCCTGGCATGACAAATGTAAAACAACCCAAAGAATAAACAATTAGCTTAATTTTTACAAGTAAGCGTCAACAGTTGACAAGGAAAAGAGGGGATAATTCAATTATTTTCACTTTAAAAAATGTCCCAAAAAGTGACTGTAATAGCTCTATAGGCTTATATACTTGACTTAAGTATTATTAATATTTCAGAGTATCTAAATTATTTGTGCCATTGTTTTTACTTTTTAAAATTTTTATCAACAGGTGAACAAATATGCCAGAAAAGCGACACATGATATTATGTACTGTGACAGATGTCAGAGATGGACAAGTTGTCTACCCTTGTTGCTCACAATGCTGTTCTAAGCTTAGATCGGATTGCTTTCAAGATAGGTATGAACTTTAACTAAAAATATCAGTATGGAGTAAAATATCACAGTTCCAATTTTACTGTGCAGACAGTAACAGATTAGAAAAGAACCAAAATCTTTGTATAGTAAATTGCAAAAACATCTAATTCTGGTTCTCTCCCTTGGCATCTGAAAACATTGATGCAAAGGAGCAGTGTTCAGTAATTGTGAAATTCTGATTTACTCAAATCTTTGCACATATATTCTGAGCAGGATTCCTGGAAATTCTGTTGAGCTTACATGTACATTGTGAAAATGATCAGTCTTTAAAAGGCTTTTTGGACTTTTGGAGTACCTTTTGTTCTACACTCATTTTGAATTTTGTATTTCATCTTAATCAACTGGTTTAAAAACTCATGTGATTTTTTTTTCTTTACAGGTACATGTTTTTTGTATATCTTGACTACAGCTTTCCTCAGATAGCATTCTTTATACTTTAACAGCATGTACCGGTAGTTAATGTCATACCTTTGAAAAAAGTGTATATTCTTGACCTAGTGACCTCCCCAGTATTTTCAAATAGCACCACGGGATTTGAAATAGCACTGTTTCTCTAAAATTATTGCATCATTGCACTGTTTCTCTAAAATTATTGCACCATTATGATAATACAATATATTATTAAATCTATTCAGATAGCACCATGGTAAACATGGTAAACATAAAGCACAATTGTATCATGCATGGTGCTTAATAAGGCCTTGGGGAGAACACTGCCAGGACCTGATTTATTCAATGTTTTACATTCTCTGTTTTCATGGACTAACTTGCATCTTAATGTTTATTTGAGTAGATGGCAGTGCTTAAAATGTGGTTGCAGCTCCACAACAGAAGATTTAGATTGGAGATATAGATTGTCATTAATGGTAACTGATGGTCATACACTGGCTAATATTTGTTTGTTTGGTAGTGTGTTGCAGCCTTATTTTGGGATGTCAACTAATCAGTTTGTGAGGTAAGTTTTAAAATATGATAATCAGGCTTTCAGCTTTTTGTCTTGCATGATATTAGTATCACAAAAGGCCATGACTTCCATTTTTGTCTCGCCTTGACGGAGTCAAAAGCAAAACTTAAGTATGCTGTTTCCATCCGGGTCGTCAACAATGTATTAGTTTGTGCATGATTAGGTTAGTTTATGGGTAACCACTGGTGGTAGGTCAATGATATTTGGTATGGAGTTGTATTAGCATTGACACATCTCATTTCCATGGAGTTTGGTCCCGCACCCTCAGTCTTGGTCTATTAACTTTGAAACTTTTGCTTACTTTACATGTATTAGTTTGTGATAAGGGCAGTATAAGGGGAACCACTAGTGGTAGGGGATGATATTTGGTATGTAGATGCATAAGCATTGGCACATCTCATTTCCATGGAGATTATTTGGCTCCACCCCCTCAGTCATGGTCTATTGACTTTGAATGTCTTGCATAGTTAACATGTTGAAGTTTGTGATTAGATCAGTTTTAAGAGGAACCATTAATGTTAAGTCAATGATATTTGGTTCAGTGTTCTACCCAGGGGCCTTTTACCATCATGGTAATGTAATGCTGTATTGCTTGAATGTGATGCTATCTGAAATTATTATGTTATAGATTGTGTTATGGAAGTGATGCAATAATTTCTAGAAATAAGATGGTATTTTAAAATTCCCTGTTTACCAGGATGCTATATGAAATTTGTGGGGAGAACACTGTGGTATGCAGTTGTATTAGCATTTGCATTTGCAACTTTGCAAGTCTCTTTTCCATAGAGATTGAATGGCCCCACCCCCTCACAATGGTTCATTGACCTTGAAACTTTTACATTGTTTACAAGTTAAAGTTTGTATTAGATTAGTGTAAAGGGAACCAAGATAAGTCAATGGTATTTGGTATGCAGTTTTATAAGCATTGGCATTTCTCACTTCTCTAGACAATATTTGGTCCTGCCCCTTAAGTCATGGGTCATTGACTTTGAATGTTTTGCATAGTTTTAATAAAACATGTTTAAATATTGCCATTTGGATTCAATATTTTCATTATACTATTAAAATTACAAAAAGGCAAGACATATCTCTGTGTCAACAGTTTATGATATTCTTGTAGTTAGGTTACATATCAGGATTAGGTCTGATCCAGTGAAATATAAATTTACCAGAAACTATTATGGTTTAAAACAAAAAAAAACAAAAAAAAACAGTAGAAATAAATCTTATCTTGTAATTTATTACACATTGATGTTTTATCACTTTATATCTCAATATTTAAAAACCATGGATTGCATATAATTGTTTCATAATAATTACTATCATTGCGCATTCATAAGCACAGTTATCATGGTTATTTTTTTCATTTTTTACAAAAGAAAATTTAAAAGAAGTTTGGTTCTTTAAACATGTTAAAAAAAGACAAAGAAAGGTAAAGGCTACATGTACATGTATATAAAATGCTTATTACCTCAAGACAAACATAATTAACAGTGTTTGAACAATAAAACAAACACTATTTTACATTTTCTTCTTCAACAAAATTATTTTCTATTTGCATTTAACAAGGGTAGCTACAATAATTTCTATTTGCAGTACATGCTAAAAAAAGTGTAAAAATACATAGGGTATATATGAGACAGATATCTTAACGATTTTTTATTATTACCTTAACATGTACTATTTGGCTTACCTGGCCTTATGGATCATGTGAACTGTTGCCATCACCTGTGTCCATCGTTGTTGTTTGTTTTCTGTCCTTTTCCTAAACTTTTTTTTAATCTGAAACCACAGGACCAATTTTAACCAACTTGAACTGAATAATCCAAAGATATCACAGTTTAAAAATTGTGCTTTTTGCTCCTGTCAATCCACCAATGTTGTCGCCATGGCAAAAAATAGAACATCTGGGTAAAATGCATCAATTGTCTAATATCTTAAAAACCATAAAAGAGAAAATTTGACATAGCCATAAATGCACAGAACAGCAAAATCTACCTACTTCCCATTTTACCAAAGTTTATATCAGATGGCTTAAGATAGGAGTTATTGCCCTCAAATGATGATTTGAACCTTGAATAGACATGATAGATGTAAAGACACTTTGATCAGCAATACAAGATCTACATAAATGTCAATCCATAGGATAATTATATAAATAGCTACAAGTAGGAGTTAATGCCCTTAAATGTCAGTTTTTGACTGATTTTTAAGTATTTGTCTGAGCCATATTTAATGAACATAAAATCAGATATGGTTTAGACGGACAATGAACGCACATTGTCACACTAACTTTTGCCTTTTAATATTTTTTTTTTTATTGTGCACCAGATTTAATTACTCATACTTAAAAAAAACAAATAGGTCAACAATTTTAAATATTTCATAAATTAAAATGTAATCAGCAATACATTTTGCTGTTGAAGGCGTGTTAAAATTACAATTTTTACATGTTTCGAGAAAGTTTGCACCTTGTTTGGCCATCTTTAACAAAAACGACTTAATTATTATGTGGAAGGCAATATAAAGCTTGTAATTCCTAACCGAATTTCAATTTTGGTTAAGAATGTTCTTCTTTAATATACACAAACATTTTAGGATAGATAAATGCTCAAAATTGGCAAAATCTGACAAAATTGTTATTTTGAGGTATTTTCAGGCATTTAAAATGTGTAATCTTTTTAGAAGTAAGCATAGTATTGTAAGAACCTTTGAAGTTCATTTATGGACATGTTACACTCTGTGGATTTAAGGACAAACGATAGTTTTGATCCCATGGTGATTGTTTTACGAAAATTTGAACACAAGCTATTTTTCACCTAGTCTATTCAAATTCGTTATAAAAAATATAGCTTCATGTGCTAAATTAAGAGATAAATGGGGTCAAAATTTTATACATTTACCTAAAATTTCGGTTTCTTGAACATTTCTATCCTTTAGACAGCTGCAGACATCCTTAACATTTTTGTTTCAAAAGATAAACACATCCAGATTTTTGTAAAATGATTTGCAATATCTTCTTTACAAAAGTATACTATTAATTTTTGTACCAATTCTTTGAATATAATTCATTTATATTAAATTTTCATGATTTTAGAAAAAAACGAAAATTTTTGCTGTATATTTATCTAATTTAAAAAAATTCATCGATGATTTCTTCATAAAAATTAGAAGAAATAATCTTCAAGCAGTTTCAAGTCAAATGTCATTTTAAAAAGATTGGTCCATGTACTTGTTTTCAAACAAATGATTTAAATCACTCGAAAAATGCATCTTTTACCGATATGTCGCAGTTTGACATCGCCAAAAATAACATTTTACGTTAGCAATGTCATTACCTCCTTTGTAACTGCATCGTATGCCCTTAACTGGTCTTAAGGTGGCTCGGGTGTCTTCCTCCATCTTGGATTTCAAAGTAGCAGATAACGTTGGTCTAGATATTTCATGAAATGTGCAAATTTTGAGAGTAGTATGTAGTTTATGTAAAAGACTTTTTCACATTCCCCATTTCCATTCTCAATTTTATTTTGATGTAAATATAGAAAATTGTGTGTTTTATCATAATTACGGCTGTAATTTCTCAAAAACACCTTATTTGTGTTTGATTAGATTTTTTTCAACTTTGCCCAATAAAGGGAGATAACTCAGATAAAGTAATTTTTATAATAGAAAGTGTTGTGAATTTACATATTTTGATATGTAGCAAGAAAACTGGTTCGGTGACCCCATTTTTTCTTTTTCTTATCTGAACGCATCTTATAAGAGCTATCTTCTCACAATTTATCATAAAGTTCTATCAAGTAGTTTTCTTTTTATCACACAAAATTTGATTTTCCATGCATAATCTATACAAAATCTGACAATTTTGCACAACCTCTAGCGTGAAAAAAAGTTCGGTGACCCATACTTTTTATTCTATTTTTGAGAAAAGCATGATAAAAACTTCATTTTGACAAATTATCAAAAAATTCTATCAATTTTAATTAAGACGCCCCAGCCACCTTAATTAAATCTTGAAATTTTTGTTAAAATGGCCCTTACTTGAAATTGTCCCAACCTGTTTGTAGGACAGATTTTTTCCAGAAATAACAAATTTATGCAAAAAATTGCAAAGATTTTTTGTCATATTAAAATGTATTCTTTACCATCTTTAAATATTTTGCTATTTTCCATTAACTTTCAGTGTTGATTGTTTTATAGGTTTCTAAGAAAGATAGAAAGTATGTATGGTAACTCAGAAGATATTCTACTACTAGGACTAAAACACTGTTTTATTGGACAGCATTATTACTTTGGTGTGAAAGCTTCGACTGCAGTTGGTGGGAAGGAAAGAATATCCCTAGATGATTTGATAATGCAAAAACGTACTGCATGTCAGAATGCCATGTTTTCCCAGGAAGATAGCTCAAATATGGTGGCATTCCAAATGATTTCTGCAATCAACAGAGAAACAAAGACAGTTTATGAGATTATTAGAAATTTCTTTAAAGATGGCAGTGAGGATACAGTAAACAAAGAACATGTATCAGATAAATCTATATCTGGTACATCTTTAATGCAATATTCCAATATGGGAACATATTCCTCACAACAATCAAGGTCAAGCGAGCAAAGTTCTATAACTCTAGGTCAGACAACTGCTTTGTTGAGTTGTGAAATGTCTGATATAGAGAAGTCTTCTTTTCAATCAGAATCTAAGAATAGAAATGGTAAAAGCTGTAGAAGGTCTCAAACTAGTTGTAATTCCTCAAAAAAATTACAGGTTTCTAAATCAGAAGGCACTGAAAGAAGTTCATCTAAAAAAGCTTTAACTAAAAATGTTTTTACTGTTGAAAATTTTTCTGATGAAGTTTGTCTATTTAAGAGAGATAATAAGCAAAAATTTTTGAATTTTTCTGACAAAGAATTGAAAGTAAGTAGAATCATAAACAAGGAATTGGAAACAGATTCTGAACCATTGTTCTCACAAGATGATGGAAATTCTGATTTAAGATTACATGAAGATTACCCATTAAAAATTAGACAACATTGCAAGGATAATGACATGATAAAAACAAATCTAAAGAAAGATGAAGTTGAAGACCAAAAAGTTAACTGTCCAAAAACTCAGGATATGATAGAAGAGGAAATTCTATGTACAAATTCAGAACCGCTTTTCACACAAGATGAAAGCTCTTCCTACCAGAGTCCTGTTAGCATAGACTTCAGAAACAAAAGGTGTAAAATCAAAAATAATCTTGAGACAGTCAATTTGAGTTCAGAAATGGATGAAATACTTTGTACAAACTCAGAACCACTTTTCTCACAAGATGATAATTCTATCAGTCATATTTCACGTAAAGGACACTCTAATTTGAAAGTCTGTAATGATACAGAATATACTGCATCTACAAACCTTATTTTGGGAAGTAAGCAGAATCAAAATTTAAAATCTCCCAGTACAAACATGTATGGAAGCCTAGAAGGATCAATGGTACTGCAGAATCTAAAAGTACCAGATTTGCCAGAAGATGTGCCAGATTCCGAAGAATTAGAGCTGTATTTATTTGATGATTCAAGTTTTGAGTCTGAAAACCAAAACGATGTTGGTTCTACACAAGTGGCAAATGAAGCTTTCAAACACTCTGTTCATCTTACAAAAGGAAAACCCATGGCCATTTATGATGTACCAGTTCAGGAATCTAAAACAGAACTTAACTTACAAGCTGAAGCAAATTCAAATTTATACTTGGATAATTCGAATCGTATGATAAAAAAGGAAACCCTTAACACTAATCAAGAAACAAAGTCAAGAGCATTTAAACTCGAAACAGAGGAAGAAATATTTGACGACATGTTTGAAGATTCATTTGATCAGCTCATTTACAAGCCTTGTGAAAGTAAAACCAAAAAGAAACAACCCTCAGTCAGTGGAAGCAGTGAAGTTAATAGAAATGATATGGTTCTTCAAACATTGGTTTTAGAACATACTAGTAATAGATCTAGAACTGACAGGCAGATTTCCATTCAAGTCCATAAACACCATAATCAAGGGAAGGATCAAAATGATTTCGAAAGGTCTTTTGAAGACGAAGATGTAATTTCTTGTGCTCCAGAATTGAAGGATATTGATATTGAAGATCTTAGTCATGAATTTGACAAAAATCTGCAGGCAAACGTAAAACCCAACATATCTATGTATAATTGGAAACAAATAAATAAAATTCCTGCAAAATCAGTTGAAATTACTCATAATGATAAAGAATTCAGAGAAAATTTGGATCATTCAGGAACTAAAAATAAATGTTTACATGAAGATGAGGCAAACACTTTGGAATTCATTTGTGAAAGCCAGCACATTCTAGATCAGCAACAAGTTAATTATGATAGTATGAATAATCATTGTCAGAGTGGACACAGTCTTGTTTCAGAATCACTTTACTTAAATGCATCTGAAGATTTGTTCGGGGAAACATCTGCTGTTTCTAAGAGTTTGATAGGGTATCTTGTTGAAAATATAAATCAGGACAATAAATTTGAAAAACAGGAAAATAGAAGACCTGAAAGACAAGACTCTTCAAAGAAATCTGTTAAATTTTCACGACGGCTGAGCTATCAAACTTCTGTTCAGTTGATTGACCTCCAAATGAAAATAAATTCTAATCCTGCTGTGTATAACGGGGAATCAAGAAAATCATGTTTAAAAACAGGGTTGGAAAACATTCCAGAAAAGGAGATATCAGCAAACCAAACCATAAATTCTAATATCATTACTGCAGCAGAAAATTCACCGATTGTAAATTACTCAAATAGTCATGTTGACTTATCGCAAGATTTATTTTCACCAAGTCCAGATATATGTTTCAAAAGACCTAAGCCTCTTCAGTTAAACAATAGAATTCCAACTGTCTGTAATCAGCTAGAAAAGCAAAAGAATATAGTGAAATCAAACTGCCATTCCTCTACACCTATTGAATCAGAAATAGATGAAGCTGAAAGCAAAGTTTATAACAATAAATCTTTAATTTCGATTTTCTCTGAAACTTTTGAGGATGACCTTGATAGATTTAAAGAAAACATATCTCATTCAGAAAAGATTGAAAATTTTGCAAAAAATGACAATTGTGTAAGTTCACCAGCATTATTTTCTCAGAGTTATTCTTTGTTTTCATTTTCAAGTTCTAAACTATCTGAAAGGGGAGACAACAGTTATAAATCAAGTTTTATAAAGGGGAATAACTCTACTAATAAACATTCTGTTAACTACTCATGTGACCTGTTTAGTCCATCCATATATGATAGTACACATTCACCTTGCGGACATTTACCAGTTAAAAAACTGTTCCTTGATAAGATGTGATATATTTTACATATTTGTTTGTGATATCTGTAATTGTGATAGTATTTTAAAGAATTATAATATGTTTTATCTGTTCTTGTCATATTCCTGTAGGTCACTTAAGATACATTTTTAGCATGATTTTTCAGTTTTTGTCTCATCTTGACAGAGCAAGACTTAGGTATGCTGTTTCTGGCGATGGCGATGACAGCGTCGTCAACAATGTTTTAGTTTTTGATCAGGTCAGTTTATGGGGTTCCACTAGTGGTTGGTCATTGATATTTGGTATACAGATGCATTAGTATTGGCACATCTCAATTCCATAGAGATTATTAAACCCCGCCCCCTCAGTCATGGTCTAATGACTTTGAAACTTTTGCTTTCTATATATGTATTAATTTCTGATTAGATCAGTTTAAGAAAAACCACTAGTGGCAGGTCAATGATATTTGGTATGAAGATGCATTGGCACATCTCATGTCCATGGAAATCATTTGGCTCATCCCCCTCAGTCACGGTCTATCATTGTCTATTGACTTTGAATGTTTTGCATAGGTTACAGTTTAAGATTGTGATTAGATCAGTTTATGAGGAACCGCTAATGTTAAGTTAATGATATTTGGTATGCATTGTATTAGCATTTGCAAGTCTCTTTTCTATGGTGATTATATGGCCCCATTCTTCAGCATGGTTCATTGACTTTGAAACTTTTACATCATTGATTACAAATTAAAGTTTGTGTTCAGGTTATTGTAAAGGGAACCACTTATGAGAAGTCAATGATTATTGGTATGCAGTTTTATATGTATTGGCATTTCTCATTTCCATTGGGTTATTTGGTCCTGCACCATAAATCATGGTTCATTGACTTTAAATGTTTTGCATAGATTGAATGTTTAAATATTGCCATTTGGATTCAATAATTTCATTATGCTATCAAAATTAGAAAAAAGGTGAGACATATCTCTGTGTCAACAGTTTATTATGGATATTTGGACATCTATATTTGGTATACAGAATCATTGCAAGGTATTTATGTTCTTCAGATAGGGATCACCTGACTTCATTTTCATGGTAATTGGTAAGCTTTACTGTCTGCTGACCAGAATCGTCTAACATTGACCTCATTTTCATTGTTCTTTGGAGAGCCATTCTGTGATGATCATGTGTATAAAAATAAGGAGATGTGGTATGATTGCCAATGAGACAACTATCCACCATACACTCACATACAGAATGTGGCAAGGCTAAATATGTTTGTGAGCACTAAACCTTCCTCTGGTTCGTTTCTCAATAGATCAACTTTATTGGGAAATATTGTGTTCACATGTCCATTTGGCATGGTTCATTAGACTGACCTATTTTTAGCTTACCTGGCCCAAGCTTTTTTCATCATCTTGCATCTGTCGTCTGTCCGTTTGTTCGTCTGTCCGTTCGTCCATCCAAATATTGACACATTCAGCTATCTCCTCCTACAGTTTTTGGAAAGATTGGAACTGTTGTTCCAAATCTTTCCTAAGGCACCAGCCTCCCAAACATGAAGTAGCACAGGTTAGCTACTAAATCTACAGAATGTATACACACTGAAAAAAGTGCCCTGTTATTCTCATGCCTATATGTACATATCCACATTTGAACTGTGAAAAATTTTGGTTAAATCTTTTGAGCAGTTTATTCAAGTATGAGTGTCTTTAGTTTTGTCAATTTACAGGCTAGTTTCCTCATTTTAAGTAGGTAAGAGTAATGATACATTACCAGCATGATTGACAAGTGCCAAGATCACCAAACAATCAGATACAAGGTGGGGCCTAACTTAGAATGTCCCACCTTCTTAAATGCCAATCATCTTGACCATATTACTTATCAACCTCAGTCTTACATAATTAAGCAGATCCTTCATTATACATCTCAATATACAAATATTTGACCTCATTATTGAATACACAAATGTATATTAGATGTTTGATACATGTATATAGAAATGATAGATTTATTCATTGCCTATTACTTTTGATCTACACTACATAAAATGATTCTATAAATTATGTCTTAAAGATAAATGATTAAGGATTAACAAGAATTTTGTTTTCAAAAGAAAAGAAAAGACAAATTATCAAAACTTAATATAAAGAAGGTATTCAAAAAAGGTATATATTTTACTTGATAAATTTGTGCAATAATCATCTGAATTCAGTTTACACTTATCAGTGATTGACTTGAAACCGTAAGTAAAATTTCAAAACTCTTAACTCAGCAAACCAGTATTTTTTTAGTTTATACCCCATCAAATTTTTTTGAACAATATTAGTCATTTGAATACAGGAAGTGTATTTTTGCAATGAAGAAATTATCCTCATTTCAATAAAATAAGTTTTTTAATTTGTTTATGTTGAAAAAGTACATTTTCAATGCCCTTTTCTGGAAAATATTAAATTATAAATTAAATTAGAATACACCCTACAATTTTTAATCTTCAGTGTCATATAATCATAATAATTAGTTCCAAAATCAATAAGCAATTCTTAGGGAGAAAAATATTATACCTTTGTTTCAACTTGTTGGTTCCATGTCCTTCAAGGATAATTGATAAATTTTACTAGAAGAATCTTTATTTGGTAATGTCTTCTGTTTGTAAAGATCAAATGTAAAAAGAGAAACATGTATGCAATATTAATGTTCTATTTTGTCCACACCATACTTATATATAATTTGAGATTATTCGAACTACTCTTCCAATCTTTCCATGAGTGATTTCCATCACTTTGATTGAGCTACAGCTTTAATATTTTGTAGGATGTTTCTGCACATAATAGAGTTGTGCATGTTTCCAGGATTTTGATTTTTTCAATTATTCTCAAAATATCAGCTATTTGGACTTAGTCAATTTTGGGTACTAGCTGCATGAAAAGATCATGGTTTGTCCAGCTATCTCCTCTTACAGTTTTTGAGGTACAGCCCTTATATTTTACAGGTTGTGTGTACATGTCCACAGGATTTTGATTTTTTTTTTCAAATATTCTCAAATGCCAGGTATTTTGACTTTTTATACGACCGCAAAAATTAAAAATTTTTTGGTCGTATATTGGTATCAGGTTGTCGTCGTCGTCGTCGTCGTCGTCAGTGTCGTCCGAAGACAGATGGTTTCCAGATAATAACTTTAGTATAGGTTAATAGAAATCAATAAAATTTTAACACAAGGTTTATAACCACTAAAGGAAGGTTTGGAATGATTTTGGGGGTTATGGTCCCAACTGTTTATGAATTAGGGACCAAAAAAGGGGCCCAAATAAGCATTTTTGTAGTTTCCAGACAATAACTTGTGTTAAAGTGTATGAATCTCTCTGAAATTATACCACAAACTTCCATACAACAAAGGGATGGTTAGGATTGACTTTGGGGGGTTATGGCTCAAACCATTTAGTAATTAAGGGCAAAAAAAGGGGAAAAACAAGGGGTTTTCTGGTTAAAGGACAATTTAGACAATTTAAAAGCAGTGTAAGGGAGGTAATCCAATCCCTTACACTGCTTTTAAATTATGTATAAAGTAATGGTTAATGAACAATTAAGACAATTTAAAACAGTGTAAGGGAGGTAATCCAAATACAACGTTTTGATTACTTCCCTAACACTGCTTTTAAATTATGTTTAAAGAAATGCATATTTATAAAGGAAGACCAGTAAAAATATCTACAAATGTTGCATCTTTTTTTTCTTACAAAAAAATCCATATGAAAGATTTCACACCATATTTTAAATTCTATTATAAAATATATTAAGTTAAATGGTAAATTTAAATGGGTAATTATGGTTGCAAATTCCATTGGAAATTTGAATTGAGATTATGACCATATCTTGAGGGAAAGAATTTTTTTGGGGAAAAGGGGGGCGGGTAAAAAGAAATTGTGGGGGGTAAATTTTTTCTCATTTCAGATTTCAGAAATTAAAAAGAATTATTCTTCAAATATTATCATTTTTCAAATTTCAAATATTGAAAAATTTCAAGAAGTAATCTTTAATTGCACAGTATGGCGCATTAGATTTGTAAAATCTTTGACCACATTTATTTATTTGTTATGCCGAATCTGACCGTGTATTTAGATTTTTAATTTTGGGTCCAGTTTTCAAATTGGTCTACATTAAGGTCCACAGGGTCCAAAATTAAACTTAATTTGATTTGAACAAAAATTGAATATATGGGGTTCTTTGATATGCTGAATCTAAACATGTATTTAGATTTTTTATTTTGGGCCCACTTTTCAAGTTGGTCCAAATTGGGGTCCAAAATTAAACTTTGTTTGATTTCAACAAAAATTGAATATATGAGGTTCTTTGATATGCTGAATCTTATTTGTGGGCCACGCTATCAAATTGGTTCAAATTGAGGTCAAAAGGGTCCAAAATTAAACTTTATTTGATTTCATCAAAAAACGGATTATGGGGGTTCTTTGATATGCCAAATCTAACCGTGTATTTAGATTTTTAATTTTGGGTCCCATTTTTTAAATTGGTCTACATTAAGGTCCAAAGGGTCCAAAATTAAACTTATTTTGATTTTAACAAAAATTGAATTCTTGGAGTTCTTTGATATGCTGAATTTAAACATGTGTTTAGATTTTTGATTATGGGCCCAGTTTTCAAGTTGGTCCAAGTTGGGGTCCAAAATTAAACTTTGATTTCAACAAAAATTGAATATATGGGGTTCTTTGATATGCTGAATCTAACCATGTATTTTGATTTTTGGGCCCCGTAATCAAATTGGTCCACATTGAGGTCAAAATGGTCCAAAATTAAACTTTGTTTGATTTCATCAAAAATTGAATTCTTTGGATTCTTTGATATGCTGAATCTAACCATGTATTTAGATTTTGGATATTGGACCATAATAGGTAAATTAAAAAAAATTAAGTTCTTAGACCACATTCATTCTGTGTCAGAAACCTATGCTGTGTCAAATATTTAATCACAATCCAAATTTATAGCTGTATCAACATTGAATGTTGTGTCCATACTTGCCCCAATTG